ATATACCAGAAACGCTTTTATTATACATTTGTTGATGTATCATGTTGGTATCTGTTTTAATTAATGAACGTCTTAAGCAACGTTCTTTAATACTTCATGAAAATGATTAATTACGCATTGTATAAATAGAGCCGTAAATTCAATTTTATCTAGGGCCGCTAATGAAGAAAAATTTAAATCAGCATGTTTCTCAGAACTATTTTGGCATATTATTTTTATTTGGGACGCCTCGTATGTAATTTATATATATATATATATATATACATATATATCTTTCTCTCTATATATACAGATAGAAAGATAAATTATAAACAAGGCGTCTTCCCCGCACACATATATATACTTTATTTCAGCACTAGTTTTGAGGCTTCTTATGCCTAAGCAGATAAAAACTGAATCTGTTTTATCTATTTTGCGTCACTTATTTCAGTCCTATTTAAATATTTATTCTCCATCTGAGATAAGAAATTATAAAAGCGTTTAAAATATAGCAGAAAATTAATAAGCACATTATTAAGTTTCGCAGAAGCCCATTAAGATACTGTTAATTTACTTGTGAATATACAATAAATTATTCATTGTTACTGAAAAGGATTTTATTACAAGTCGAAATTTACACGTCGCTTTGTCGTAAAATATGTAGTAAAACAATTTCATATCAGAATCCTTTTTTATATATCTGAAATTATATGTGTGATACTTTTTTGGGATTAAGTTACTTCGTAAAAGCAGGAAGCTTTCGCAGAGAAATTGTCTAACTAGTGAGCTCTTAATCAATTAAAGTTAACTAGTCGCGAATTAGTGCAAAACCGAAACGGATTTTTATTTTATTTTATTTACAAACATGTAACTTGAAAAGTTGTTTCATGTCAGTTTAAGCTCATTAGAGAAGAATGAAAACTTAGGTGTTGTAGTGAACAACTTTAATTAGTTGGCATTAAAGAAGCAAATTTTAATTTCTTGCTATTTTTACTTATTTCTTTCGTAACGAATATAACATTTAATTTATATACGTAACATTCTGAAGTTGCTTCGAAATGGTTCAGGATTAATTGTTGTTTCTGTCTCGTGGTGATGCAAAAGGAACAAAAAAAGGGGGGGGGAATAAATTCACTTTGTCTTCAAATGCGAATTACGAGATCTGCAGAAAAATAAATATTTCTTTCAAAGCTAACGAGGTTTTTCAGTCGTTTATTGTTCCATTTTATTTACTCAAGTTGTAGATTCTCTTTATTGAAACGTAAATAAAATATTTGATGACTTGTGTAATCTTTACTTTTTATAGCTTAATATTTTTTAAACAAGAGGAAGTTATTGCATCGCTTATTCAATAATGCAGGATCTGTTATGTATACGTGTATGTATGTTTGTTTTTCGAATTCTGAAAAAAGCAGCGACACCTAGAACCACCAAATTTTAACCATTAATCCTCCATTGGAACATGTGCTACTCGATGCCGGAACTTTTGGTTTCGAATTTTTTTAAAAATTTATTTTATAATTCGTTCGAACTACTAAAATTTTGATTATTCAACGACGATTTAAAACTCTGTCCATTACATTAAACTTCAAGTACTTCTCGTTACTATTTAATCGAAAAAAACTAAAAGGAATATGTTGCCATTGTTCAAAATAATATATCTTGTTTTCCACGTACCAATGTGTTGGCAACATGTACTTCTTTTAATCAACAAACTTTCAAATTTAATTACACTCATTCAACAAATATTAATATCTCTGTTAACCTCTCTCTGTTTAATCTCTCTATTGTTAATTAAAAAAACTAATAGATTTAAAAGCTTTAAACGCAGTTCTTAATAATATATACATATTTACTTTTTAATTATTTAATGTGTATAATTTTTAAGGACAATATTTTGTAATTTATAAGACTTTGCTAACAACGTATGTTACGTAATTGATATGTAGGGTCTACTTGTCTAACTTCTAAGTGAGAATCCTACGTTCAGTAAGTTCTGTTAGGAACTACACAGAAGAAGGGTTAAAAGTACCCTTTATTAACTCTTTAACACACAGAACGACGACACACAGAACACACCTCCCGACTCTTCGGTTCAGTCGTTCCCGGAGCTCAACATGGTCTCTCGACGATGCACTAACCGCGATACACTACGAGACTCTTTCGGTGCACTCGACGACCCACTCGGCACTCGCTGCCTGCTGTCAACTCGATCGACTCCTTACAGACTGACTTGCTAGACGAGACACCAACTATATCGCACTCGACGAGGAGCACTCTCCGCGTACCAGTAGGGTATATATAGCTTTTGGCTTGTGTTCGAGAACATTCTGGTCTAAACCGGTAAGAATTCGTTCCAGAAGGTTCTCCATCCGTCCATGGCATATCGCCAATTTTGTCGCAAAATGTCGCCAAATGGGTGATTTCTCGCCAAATGTGGCAACCTTACCGTTCCTTGCTGTTTTATGACAACCCTAAAGCTGCTTTGCCGCGAAGCTATCTTACCGTGCCTGGGCATTTCGTAACAATATGCACAACTAGTAGTACTAAGCTACAGGGCTCAGATAATTCCTGTTACTTAAGCCCGTGTCGAGTAAATACAATTATGCCACGTAAATCAAAGATAACTCAGGGTACAAGCTCACGCAACGGAGGTGACGGGAATAGCCTAACTCTAACTTTTCTCTCTAACTTTCTTACCGAACCTCTATTTTTAAACTCTTTCTTCACAAGTTAGAAGTTGCATTCCTTCACGAGCCCTACTAAATTTAAATATTCCCGCGTTGTCAATTAGAGTAATGAAGGCTTATAGAAAAGTTTAAAATTAAACTTTAACTTAATAGTTAAAATAAATATAAATCTCTACATATACAAAACCTTAGTTTTATTTTATGGCCTTTTATCTTTTTAAACGCAAATCTTCCTTTGACATGCTATTTGGTAACATCAAGACTTATATATGCAATTGTCGTCCCTAGCAGGACTTGCACTAATAATTCGTATGCAAATAGTATTTTTATGTGTAATTCTTCAATTTCTATTATATTTAATGAATCTAGTACTAAAAATAATTGATTTACAAGAGAGCAAGATATGGTATAAGGGAACTAAATTCAATAACTTACATGTAATATAATGCCTCACGTACGCACAAAGTGCATAATTAATAATCAAGAGCCGAGTTCTATTTATCTTCACTTAGCAAGTACATAATTTCGAACTTTTATTTAATACGTTAATACTTATTAAGCACCGACCCAAGCTAATTATGCGCAAAGTGCATAATTAGTAATCAAGAGCCGAGTTCTATTTATCTTCACGTAGCAAGTACATAATTTCGAACTTTTATTTAATACGTTAATACTTATTAAGCACCTACCCAAGCTAATTATGCGCAAAGTGCATAATTAGTAATCAAGAGCCGAGTTCTATTTATCTTCACGTAGCAAGTACATAATTTCGAACTTTTATTTAGTACGTTAATACTTATTAAGCACCGACCCAAGCTAATTATGCGCAAAGTGCATAATTAGTAATCAAGAGCCGAGTTCTATTTATCTTCACGTAGCAAGTACATAATTTCGAACTTTTATTTAGTACGTTAATACTTATTAAGCACCTACCCAAGCTAATTATGCGCAAAGTGCATAATTAGTAATCAAGAGCCGAGTTCTATTTATCTTCACGTAGCAAGTACATAATTTCGAACTTTTATTTAGTACGTTAATACTTATTAAGCACCGACCCAAGCTAATTATGCGCAAAGTGCATAATTAGTAATCAAGAGCCGAGTTCTATTTATCTTCACGTAGCAAGTACATAATTTTCGAACTTTTATTTAATACGTTAATACTTATTAAGCACCTACCCAAGCTAATTATGCGCAAAGTGCATAATTAGTAATCAAGAGCCGAGTTCTATTTATCTTCACGTAGCAAGTACATAATTTCGAACTTTTATTTAGTACGTTAATACTTATTAAGCACCGACCCAAGCTAATTATGCGCAAAGTGCATAATTAGTAATCAAGAGCCGAGTTCTATTTATCTTCATGTAGCAAGTACATAATTTCGAACTTTTATTTAGTACGTTAAGCACCGACCCAATGGAGATTATTTTAGATTAAATAACTTATCAAAATGGAAACTGAAGTTCCTAAGTCTGCTGTGAATATTTCAAGAGTTGTTTTTATTTGAATGGGGTTTTTCTTACGAATTTCTAATATAAATAATTAGCTATTAATGATAAAATAACTACAAAATAAATGAAATAAAAATTTATGCCATCCATTTTTAAAACGTGTGTAAGAATGCTTGGAGTCAAAAGAATATTGAAGAAATATTAAGACGGCCATGTTAAAATCTTTCAAAGAAGCAATATTAGAAATGCTACAAAAATAGCATTTTTAATAACTGGAAAGGAATTCTTTATTCACTCACATCTGCTTTAGTAATCGCTGGAGTTTGAAAGTTTACGGTCTCTCCGCAAATTTATAAAAATCCGTTTATTTTATTATTATCACTAATGAAATTTACGTTTGAATGCATGTTTGTGAAATGGCACTTATAAATTAACACATATGTTAAAACTTACTTCTATGACACTTATCTCTAATAATAAAGTGATTTGTTGCAGTTATTTACAATTAAAGTCATCTTTAATTTTGAAAACCTTCATTATAAGTCATTTGCATGCACACCTGATCTTCATTCTGTCTTGTTTCTCTGCCATCTTATCACAATGGAAAACACATATATATATATATATACAAAAACATAGTTGCTAGGGGAAAACGTACATGCAGAAACACTTTCTTACTGACGCAGAAAAGCAAGTGATATTGCTTCTCGGTGTACTATTGACGTTTGAGATGAGAATATTGTGTTTTATCTGCCTTGCAACATAAAGCAAAACAAGATCAACAAACTTCTCTGTTTAAGGGAAAAAGCAGCGCGCATGTATTCGTGTATTATTTGAGTCACTGTATATAATGCTGAGTATTACTTTTGTTATGTTTCCAGGTGGATGAAAGATATAAATGGTGTCCTACGTTCTGTTAAAGAAGACGGAAGAGTGTGGATGATACAAGGAACTCTTAATATCAGAAAAGTAGTCCGCACGGATGCTGGGAAATACCAGTGCATCGTGAGGAACAGCATCGGTGAAAGGAGAATTGAAAGTGCTCTTATAGTAACAGGTTTATTTTCTTTTCATCATAGATGCCAACGAAACTGATTGGTGTTAAATATTCTACTGTAATATATTATTAAAACGTTTAAAGAACGTAATTAATAGCTTTTACTTGTGTAAACGTTGAGATATTTTGATTTGAAGAAGACTTTTAAATAAAAATTAGAATGTCTCAAGAAATCTGTCTATCACAATCTTTATAAATATTTGCAAAAATATACAAAATATTTGTAAAGAATAGCATTTCATAATTATGTAAATTCAATTAAAGTTTATTTTTAAGAGCAAAATGAGAATTTAATTTGGATTAAATCTGTTGCAGAGTCATTAGGTTCGTTTGAAGCAAAAGACGTTAAAAATATCTAGCGCCCTCTCCGAGACTCGAACCCTGGACCTCTCGAATACGCTTCGAGTATGCTTCTAAATACACCTTGAAGGCATGCTGAAAGGAGGGATAAAGTATCTCATATATCCCCCTTTTGAAGTGTGAGTGGGGATATGGGAACCCAATCGCCACCACCTTTTAGTTCGAGGGCCACTGTAGAATTATAAGTTTATATCAGAGCTGGAACGTAAAACATGTGCAGTGCACTCCACGAGATTCGAATGGCGGACCTCTCGAATACACGTCGGACGTGCTTCCAATTACACCAAGAAGACATGCGGAAAGAAGGGAGGAAATACCTTACATTGTAACTTAGACTAAAAACTAAACCTATTCTGGTAACTTTTAATTAAGTATATGTGTCCTTACTACAGTACGCTAGATGATGAATTATTACATTTACTATACTAACTCTTACCAACTCAAGTGAATCTTTGCTCGATGTTCTTCACAAAATTTCTGAGAACGTTATTTATAATAGCTTCTCTTCAATATACGACAATCTCTTTCTTTATATTTCACTGCATTTATCATACGCCGTTCTTTAAAGTTAGGAAATATTGACAGAAATAAGACATAAATGTTATTGACTGAAAAATGATTAAACAAAAATTTGCAAAAGCATTGTTCAATAAAACAGGTTTACCAGTTAATTAACATCAAAGTATTGAGTTAGGAGTCACATTTACGAAAATATAAAATTGATAAAAATAATATCTTTTCAGTTTCAAGAAATCTTTCTGTAATGTGCTGTGTGGAAATATGTAACAGAAAAGCAAATCTCACGCTATGATTTCACGGGATTATTTAGGCACTTGATCAAATCTTGTGCAGTTACATGCCATTCTCCTAAAAAACGCTTTTTGGACATTCAAAGATCCGGCAAAGTATTTCGGCTTCCTGTCATGTATTACAGATGTTCAAAAGTGTTGAAATCTGAAGAGTAACCTGGTCACTCCATACGGGTGATATCTTCCATACATTATAACATATGATTAACGTCAGAGATGTTTAATAATGACGAGCATTGTCCTCCATTAACATAAAATATTGGTTAACAGCACGTCTAAACAGCATTAGATGGGGTCCAATAACTTCGTCGATATATATATTAAAAATTACAAAACCTCCACCAAAGCTTTATAGCTCATTTTTGCCATGTGTAATGATTCTACTTCAAACCATGAGAGCGCTTCACAGAGACAGTATCTTTTGGAAGATGAAGTGATTGGGGGCCCAAACCGTTGACAAAACCCAAAATCGCGAAGCCACTTGAAACACGAAATGCTGCATTACCTGAAAACTACCTCATGGTTTTTTCGCCCCCCCCCAAATGACAGAAAATGGTCTTCAGAGGAAGGTGTTGCCCTTATCCCCCATTCACTAGGCAGTGTGGTTCCAAATCCTTTATACAAGAGTATAAAGACACTTTAAACTTTTTATATCCTTTATACGAGAGATATCAATATTGTTTGCGATCTGCATTACATTTGGTCCCTTTCGAGTCTACCAATTAACCACCACTTCATCCCCTTTGCTTTATGCCTTTGACTCATAACTATTAACCCTTTTCACTCGAGAGGTGACTACGGTCACTCTTGATGTGATGCGGGGACTAGAGAGAAGACTCCCAATCTCCATTCGGTTTGACGCGATAATTCATGTAGTAAAGACCTTTATTTAGGTTCTAATTTGGACAATATCGCATCATGAGTGTATTCAGTAATACATGCGTGTAGAACACCTCCCAGTCTTTTATCTTAAATACGTTTTTAGATGTATTGCTATAAATGCGACTTCGACATTAGTTCGTACTCGATTGTCGTGGCAATAGGAATACTATTTCCAAAGTCACGGAGCTTAATAAGCATGGAATACGATGAATGAATTAGTTTAACTGAATATGAGTTCGATTTTTTGTTGATAAACGAAAAAAAAAATATTTCTGTGGATAGACTGTTTGATGATAGAAAGGAGGAAGGCAGAGATGAAGGAAGCTATGAAGAGGTACAAAAAATGCCAAAGCTCAGGGTAATAGACGGTGAATGTGAAAGGAAAAACGATTATGCAGAAGAGGCAGAAGATTCAGAACAGATAACATGCACGGAATCCGAATAAATACCGTTTGAATCCGATCAAAGAGCCGCATTACTGCAAGTATCTTCAGATCTAAAAGAATCGTTAGATTTTTGTTAAATTATTTTAAATTAATTGTAAGAAATTCACCAGATATATGAAATCTCCTCTCGAGTTGATAGTTTGCATGAGCGAAAAAGGCCTCGAGTGCAAAGGATTTAATTCTAATGACTTTCAGAAACCGCGTTAGCTTCAATCGAATTTTATAGAAATGCCGATTGCGCAAAACATTATCAGTCGTTTAACTGCATATTTCGTGCGTTAACCTATTCACAAAAAATAATGTTGCATAGAATTACACATAGTTAAAATAAATAATTACACAATACATTGGCTGAAACTTTTAATCCGTGACTATATTTTTTAGTTATCCTTTAATTTTGACGAGCATTCCAAAAACTGTTGATTTGCGTAAGTAGGATGCTGAAGACCGAGACAATAGTTTATCACCTTATCTGCGATTGCAGTATGCTTGAAGCAGATAGATCAAGAATGAAGGTATTGAAGTTTCTTTACTCTTATATTAGAATCACGCGATTTATTGTCAGGTAAAAAACTAAACATTGGGTCTCGGCATAAGCCCGTGTGCCTTTATTGAGTTGCTGTTTTATTATGCGATGATTTTATTACTATAAATTACACTACAAAACAATACAGTACACGATTACAAGACATTGATAAGCTATGTCATAAATAAATAATCACACACTCATTCACTCTGTGATGTAATTCACCATTTTTGACAATGACCGCCTGCTATCATTCAGGTAGTTCAATGCCTTTCCTGTAGAACTGTTGTATTTTCAAGTTCAATAAATCAGTTAACCAGTTGCTAAAAAGCGTCATCATGAAATCTTGTCCCTGAATGTTGTTAGAGAGACCAAAAAATGTGGTAATCAAAAGGAGCGATAAATATGTCGGAAATTTCATTTTTCTCTACTTGACAATCCATACTGATTAGCCTTGAAGATGATCAAAACTGACAAATTAACAATATACAAGCTTCTGTTCTCAACAATTAAATTCCAAACTGAAGAGAAACGATCGACAAACGAAAAACGAAAGCTTCACAAGAAGATAGGAAGAAGCGAAACCAGTGAAGAACGGCACGGACTTTTGCCGTGACCCGATAAGTTATAAAATAAGTTGATGTGTTTAGTCTCTTGAAATCACTTCAAGAGAATAAATTAAGCATTATTATAGGTTTTGATAGTTTTATAAAGCTTTTTTAATATTAAATGTATTGATGTCTTCTTCATGAAAAACGTAAAAGATATTTTGAGTGTAAAACTTTTCTGTGTGGTATGAGATAGAAGCTATACATTGTCGCTGTGTATATCGCAAACCTTCTTCATATAGTTACGTGGCGAGCTGCTTTATGAGCATCTACTTAAGTATTTTACTGCTTAAATTTAAGAGACTAAGCTGTAGTATTTTTAAAACAACACCCAATTCAAGCTTTCATTAACTGCCTTGAAGTATACAAAATGCTTAAAACTTTCTACTGGTTCCATGTCATTTGTGTATAAGCAAAAATTGGCTTCCCAGATCGTATGATTTCAGTTATTGTATGTTTCAATGATCTACCGTTCATGATTTAGCAGTGTATTGATTCAAGATCAAGGATCATTTGTGCAAGCTTATGCTAACAGTAATTTTCATCTTTTAGCTGTGTACTGGATGCGCAATATTCTCTATGCAGATGCTCAATCAAAACTCATTTCCAGAGTGTATCATTAAAATATTGTACCTCTTCTGAAATCTGTTTTCGCTGCCTATCCTATAAAATTATCGATTGACAGAACTTGTTAAAAGAGATTTTCGTCTGTTTTCTGTCTTATTTTCAACCTCGTTTTGATTTAAACCCGTTTTTACAGTCGCATAGAATGTACGCTTTCTCATACTTCCTAACTCTGCCAATATATGTTGACTCATTTTAAGTATTTAAAAATCCTGATGCAATTTTTGTTTTTTACTTCCATTTAAATTTTGACCCACTATTTTTATTTGTCCCGAATCTTTCTCTTCAAATGTTTTGGTAGTATGAAAGAATATATATTTCAATTTAAGTAAGCCAGAAGTTTTAAAATTAAAATTCTAATAACAATCTTAATATTCTCTCATATAAAACAGGTAAAATTACATGAATCGATCTCATGTAATTTTACCACTTAAGGAACATGTATACGATTATTTCAAATCAGAAATGCTACAATACAATGATCTTATGATTTAACATTAGATGATCTTGATGTACACTCATGTCCATAAATTAAGGATAATGCAAAATCAGGCAAAGGAAGAGTTAGAAGCAAAACAAATTTGACTTATTTGTAAAGCTTATTTATTCAACAAAAGGTAAAGAGCAAAAAAAAGATGCTATATGTTTGATATTATTAAAAAAAATTAGCGATTTTTTTTTCTCCCTGGAGCAAATTACCAAAAAAAAAAAAAAAAAAAAAAACTTATTTACAAAAAACCAATATTACATGGTTGGTATGATTGTTAATACATTGTATGTCTCCCAGACGATGCAATACAGTCCGTACAACGCCTAGGCATGCTGAGTATCAAATTATCGATCTGATCTTGGGGGATATTACACCACTCAAAAAGCAATGCTCTCCGAAGTTCCGGTAGACATGTAGGAGGAGGTTGACGGGCTGCAACTCGTCGGCCAAGCATGTCCCACACGTGTTCTACTGGATTCAAGTCCTGGTGAGAATGCTGGCCAGTCCATACGGGTGATATCCTCCGATTGAAGGCATTCGCTTACGATATTTGCACGGTGAGGACTGGCGTTGTCATCCATCCATAAAAACAAATTGTGTGCCCATGGCGCCCCGAAACAAACGTACATGTTGTTCCAGAATGACGTCCCGATAGATTTGGCTTGTCATGGTTCCAATTTGAACATGCAGGTCAGTTCTGGAACCCAGAATAATTCCACCCCAAACGAGCACTCCTGCACCACCGTAACGGTGTCGTTCAATGATGCTTTCTTGGTGGTAACGGGTACCTGGAGCTCTCCATATGAAAGTCCGGCGAGAATCAGACTGCAAGCTAAACCTGGACTCGTCGGAAAACATCACACAAGCCCACTGTTGCGGTGTCCACAATGCATGCTCTCTACTCCAGGCTAACCGCAGGCGACAGTGAGTTGCAGTAAGTGGAACGCATCTGACAGGTCTACGAGCATATAGACCAAGCTGCCCTAAGCGTCTGTACACGGTCTGCCTTGAAATTGTCGTACCAGTGGCTGAAGAGAGCTGACGGGACAGGTCCTAGACTGTGCTCCGCCTGTTTCTTTTGGCAGTAACTGCCAAATACCAGTCCTCATTCGTCGTTGTAACTCTGGGGCGGCCTGTGCTGTAACGTCTACTCACATTACCATCACCTTGGAATCGTTGCCAAAGCCTGCAGATGACACTCTGGGCAATTCCAAGTTCTGAAGATGTGTGTAGTGATTTTACAGGTGATATATTTATTTTAGAGTTCGATTTCCGCGTGACTCCGAATTATTCTTAATTTATGGACAAGAGTGTAAAGAAATACACTGATAATCTTGTTACTTCTTCTTCAGAATGCAAATATACTTTGCATGCCTTATTGCATGTGAGATTTAAACATAGTAATTTCTTCAAGCCATAGATATAAAAAATAGAAACATATGCTAAATCTTTGGATCAGAGGCAATGGAAAATTATAGCGTTCCGGAGATTTACGAAATCCCCGTTGCGATTTATCTCGAGGGCCATATTACTCGTTTTTTTCTGTTGTTTTTGTTTTTGCTTTTTTACATCAAAAGTAATCGCTATTATGGTACTGTATGTATGTTTTTGCATTACCATTATGTATAGGAAAATTTTTACCGCCTACAAAAATATATAGGGATATTTATACCATATCATGAAAGGTTTCATATAAATGTTTAGTTTAACTTAGAAAGTTCTGCTTCTAAATTCTAATGTAGACTTTTAAAAATGGAATCTCGTATTATGATTGATTCATTGAAGATAGGCCAAACTGAACAGTTCATTCCATCAGAAAATTATTTTAATGCAAGTTATATTTTGAAAAAGAAAGTTTCTGTCCAAAAGGAATATTTCAGAATAATTTCTTAACTAAATTATTCTTCTCCTTCAGCTCCTCTTACTGTGAATCTCCTGCCTCCTCATCAAATTCTCAATATCGGACAAGAAGCTACCTTTACCTGCAATGTAACTGGATATCCTGTTCATACAATTTCCTGGAGGAAAGATCAGAGACAAATTACTGTTTCTAACCGAGTTCAGCTCTTATCACGTGATGTGTTGCATATTACAGCACTGAGAAGGGAGGACAGAGGAATGTATCAGTGCTTTGTGTATAATGATATAGATGGAGCACAGGGGACAGCTGAGTTGAAAATATCTGGTAAGTTTCTTGCACTTGAATATTCAAGCATTTTATACATTTTCTTATTGTTAATCCAAAATAATAAAATCTTTCCTGACGTATATCATTGAGATTTAAAATATAAAACAGTTATCAGTGTAATTTTTTTAATTTCATATACTTTCTAAAAAGGGATTGGTTTTGTATAGAATGAGAGTAATTTGGAATAAGACGAGTCTATTTCTAGTTTTACTATTACTAAATTCGTATATAAATGTAAAACTATCAGTTCGCAGATAATGAGTTTAAACTGAAAGGAGGAGATATCATGGATTGAAAGATATAGCTCCAGGTTTTATTACAGCGTCTCGCAACAGGAAATTACGTGGGCTCCATAATTAGCCGCGAAAGATTTTTGATCACCTAGAAATACATTCAAGAACCAAATATTTTATTAAAGATATATGATTTCAGGAGGTTTACTTATTCTATGTCGAATAGCAGTGCCAGTTTCAATGTCGACGGACTCTGATTTGAATCCCAGGATGTCACAGATGTTTGCTGCTACCTGCTACCTGAAGATCCGCGTTCCATTTTTTTTAGACCATTAGAAGGTATATATGGTCATTTAGACATTCTGTGTTCTCTAACAGTATCTGTACCGATGAAGGTTTTGTTTGCAAGAACGGGTAATAATTCATAGGAATTAAAGAAATCATCCATATAAATCTTATGTATCTCAGGGTTTGTAATTATCTGCGTGTTTTTGCTTTCTCAGCGGTATAATGTGAATTTACCTTTGTGATACACCTTGCACAACATTTTCGGTGTCCAGACAGCTAGATGGCCGAGGGGTTTATGGGTTTGGCCATTTCCGACCAGTGTTTAATATGCAAATGTCCGGACACTGGGAGGAAACAAGGAAAAATAGATTTAGGGAATTTGCAACATCTTTCAGACGAATGGGGGAAAATGAACTGAAGAGTAGCTTAAAGAGGTTTTCAGTTTCTGTTCAAACGGTTTTCTACTTGAAAATATGGAAAGTGAATGTGAAACATCTACTAAATTTTAAATAGATCAAGGTAGGTAAGTAGTGTAGAATTAAAGATATGAAATAAAACTTTATGTTTGCCCAAAAATATTTTGTCCAAATTGAATTATCTATTACTACAATGTTAAAAACAAACAACAGTTATAAATTAAACAATATTTCGAGTATAAACCTGAAACTAAGTAAAGGGACAGATGTTTTTCCATTTCATAATAAACTTGAATTAACGATTTCAAACTTTTAACTTAGCATAATTGAGCTACTTATTGTTATAATTGAACTCTAAGAAGAAAAGAACAAAGCAGGCATTTCGATAATAAATACGTTGAAATATTTTATTGCAAATGTTATTTCTGAAAACCGAAGTAGGAATTGGTTTTCATTCTTACTAACAGAGGTATTTGTACGGTGATCGCTTCTGTAGAAGATATTCATTATCTGGAAACACTCGTGGTCATCTTTGGAAATTTTCATTTCAATGCATAAGCAAATGAAAGACTACATTTATGATAAGAAATAAACATGATACATTTATTGCTTAAAACATTATTATTATATATGAAACAATGTTATATATATATATATGTTTTAGATATCGTTGTTTTGTACTGTACTGTCTAAAGAAAAGACTGATCACGTAAAAATCTTAAAATCGGAAACCCAGATTGAGAAATTTCTTAAAATGAAAGAGAAGATGGAAATAAAAACAAAAATATTGAAAAGGATTGAAACCAACTCCGTGCAACTCTACAGGATAGCAGTAAGCGCCGCAAACAACATGAAGAGGGCTACAGAGTACTCACAAGTAGTACAAGGGGCTACGTATCTCTAAGCAACAAATAGGCAAATTGGGATGAAGATGCAGTCATTTTGCACACAGTTAAATACCATGCCCCACCAATCCAAGCAGACTAACATATTACTTAAGCAACAGTACCTTGTATTCATATTATAAGCATTGCGTGTATACAATATTTAATTCACAACCTACGCAGCGAAGTAAACGTCCCACCTGCCCAGGTCCGAACATAAGACGGGGCAATTGATGATATCGCCAGCGGTAGCAGAGCTTGCGATGTCAGTTTCAGCAGAACCTCGGTTACAGAACGGCACTGTAGGCCCCAGGAAAGCTATATTTATCTGGATAGGTAGTGCAAGGGGCCTTTATTTACTTAATTAGGTTAAATAATAGGTGTGCCTCTGCACGTATTATCTAACTAAAGGTACACACTCATAGTTTTCAACAATACTTCCAAGATATGAACTCTAAGCATAATTTTTATTGGGACCTTTATACAATTTTAGCGTCAGATTTTTATATGAATTTCTATTCTGAAACAGAATTGGTGTTATAGGAATGAAAGCATTTTCCGAATGCCATGCATTTTTTTTAATACCAAAGTGTAAAACTTCATATGCTGATGTTAAATGTATATAACATAATTATTCTTCTATTTGTTAAATGCATATAACATGTACATGAATAGCTGAAGTGGAAATACGCAAAATATAAAAGAACATTAATATCTAAAACAATGCGCATTAATTTTTTTAGAAATAAAATATCTATTGAAATGCTCATCTTATTGAATCAAGGTTTACTTTTATCATGGCAGAGGTAAGTGAGGTAAAGAGGAAGATAAAGTGAGTTTATATAACTAATAGATTATTAGTGAACATAATTTTAATTCCTTTTCTCATTCTTAACTTTTCAGTTACGCGATCGAAGAAAATAACTGCAAATATGTGAAATAATAACACACAGAATTTTATGTACATGCATTCCTATGAAGAATGTAAATCAAAGATTAGTATCGGAGAATAGAAATAATTCCATTATCAAACATTCCAGTCATAAATTAAGATGTAATCTGATTTGTAGTTATAATTTTGTTTCAAAATTTCTGAAAAAAAGTATACTTATTTAACTTAAATTAAAAAATCGGCAAATGAAAAAAGTATCGAATTTTGAGTAATTTCTTTCTCTTAGTATCCGTAAATGCACAGATTAATTTTTCTACAGTCACTCAGAAAACAAAACTGTTTATTGGTGAGATATAAATATTGCTGCCTTGTAATCATTTATCCTGAGGAGGTTAACGAACAATTTTCCAATAATGGATGCCCAGATGCTTTTTTCTAGCATGACACAAATACAAATAGTATTTTTGAAGTTTTACAATGAGCTCATTTGTTTCGAAGTGGCTCACAAATGACGTGAACGTTAATTTTCGTTATAAATGACGTGAACACTTTTTTTTGTCTGAAATCTAATTAGAAATACTATCTGCAAAACTTTTCTTGAATGCAAAAGCCAGTGTCAGTCAAAATGTATATGAAAAATTGGATACTTATGCTTGTGTGCCACAAACATGCTGATTTTTTTGTGAATTCATGAGCTCCTGACTAATGAAACAGGAATGAATAGAGAATGGTTTATTGGTTTTACAGTAGATAATGATACAACAAACAACTTCAATGGGAAGAAAAAGAAAAGGAAAAAAGGAATAGTTGAGCTTATTTTACAATTTCGACAACATTCGGAAGAATGGCATGTAAATGTGTTTTACTAAGATTTAAAAGAGCCGGCATTGTTTCTAAAAATTACGGACAAATAAATTGTTGATAGTTATTATTATAATATGTTCGTAGTTCCGTTATTATGATAATAAACATTATCATCATAATAATGATGATAAACATTATCATTATTATAATAATAATCATTAGAAAATTAATAACAGTCATTTATACAGTCATAATAAAATATCATATATTATTTTAATAATATATTCACGGCTGCATGTGCACTACAGATAGTATGCATGGATACCTTCACAAGTCAACAAGTATTCATATACTAAATATTCAATAAAAAAGATGAATAAAAAACAAAATAAATAAAATGTATTAAGTTACAATAAATGATAGTGAAAAATATAATATAAAATAAAAATACATACAAAAAAGTAGAAGAAAGTGAACATATTAAGTAAATTTTACATATTTTTAAGTCATAAATACTTAAGTAGATACATATTTACAAGTTATTTATTTCTTCTATATTGAACAGACAAAATAACAACTTTCAGTTTATAATAAATAAAATAAAAAATAGACAAACGATTAACCAAAGTATAAATGTACTGAAAAGCTATTTGTTTAGTAAAGCTCAAAGCTGTCTCTTCCCTCCAAATTAAGATAATTTTATAAATGACGGATACAATTAACATAGCTTTAATTTTGAATTATAAATATGTTAGAATATGAATCGTAATAATTCATCGTAGTTAATTTTCTTGAAATAAGTCACTGATTTCAAAATGCAGTATGTTCAAATCGAGTTTACAATAGCTCAAAAACTTTGTTATTGCTGTGAGTTATTAGAATTAAAAAAAAATGAGCATTTTTTCTGTAATGAAATTTGCTGTTATAATATTCCGAGACTCGAAAATAAGTAAGCAATGTTTCGAAAAATACTGTAATACAAAGGTTGGCTTTTATTTAACTGACTGTAAATCCTTGGCTATAATAATCACCGGCTATTTAATGAAAGGAAACAGAAAAGCATTCATTCAAGAAACAAGAAGTTAAAGAGCGAAGTAACTCAAGTTTAAATAGGGTGCCAATTTAGGTTCCATTATATGTTTATTGTTAAAAGACATTGAATTACGAAAATACATACGTTCTGCATTTGTTAATCTGAATTGCGTACAGTCTTGCAATGCATACATACGCAGAAGGAAGCAAAAGAAATCTTTTCACAAGAAATTACCAAATTATTACTTTGATTCAAGAAATTAAATATTCGGATATGAATTTATATTTCAAAAGTAAAGTAGGTCAAGTTGCACATTTGTATGTTCAGTTCTGAGGAACTATATGTAACGTCTATAAATAAAGTTCTCACTTCCAAATATCTTCGGCTATTTGATATCCAAAGGTATTTTTAGATATATCCAAACAGCCTAAACCTTAGGATTAAGTTTACATTGCAACGAAAACCGAATAGCCATGCTTCTTCTTGAATGGTTTCCATTTATATTACTGGCACCATGCAAGAAAAAAGGTACTCGAACTGAAAACAAAATACTAAATTTTTATTTCTTTTGTATCACTCTCTAACGTTTAACGATATTACTGTCTTATTATCACAGATAAAGGTCAACACAAAATTCCTAAATTTAAGCATATCCTTGAAATGTGAAATGAAAACTGTCAAAATTCCTCTCACTGTAGGTATTTATGAAGTTACATGTTAATTTAATTTTTTATTTCCACATAAATATTTAAATTAGTTAGTATACGGAATTTACATACAGATATTTCATTTATTTAATCTGCTAATCACATGCATTCTCACATATACGAAAACATTAGAAGTATTCATAAAGCTTTTTAGCAGACTTGCTTAATAATGTAACTGTAAAGAAATAGTCAAGACAATTGCTGATGAATAATTTAGTTTTTCTTTTGTAAAGAGGAGTTATTTATTCTTATTATTTATTCTTATTTACTGTTTCTGCTGAAAATTCGCTTAAATCAGTCGCCGCTTAAGAATGAGAAAGTTACAATATGATTTTAAATAACATCGCTACATAAGAAATTAACGTTCTTCTAGAACACGTTTCACTTCAGAAAATATTATTCGAAAATACTCTGAAATCATATCTTTTTTATTATTTCAACAGTCCTTAAAAAAATTCCACCTTTTATCAGAATCTTATTTCGATAAGACTTGGAAAAATAAAAAAAGAGGTGGCATTATAATATAAACAGTTTGATTTGCATCTATCAAAATTCGAAATCTCTAAGCATTTTAAGTACAGGATGTCTGATATAAACTTTCTGTGATTAAAAGTGATCATTGTCAGCAAGATTTGTCTTTTAATTAGTATTTTGTAGCCCATTAAATGTGCGTCTTAATTGAGAGATTTTGTAGTACAATTTAAACTGATTTGCCTTCTTTAATGCCATCTTATACTGCGCTCAGAGTGAAGTATATTTTCAAATGTCTAACTCTCCCGTGCACTTCGTATTTTTATTATTGTTAATGAAGAAGGATTTAAACCCAATGGCAAATGTACTATAATACATATAAAAATTATCAGATCAAATAGGAGAATACAGACAGTGATTGCCTGCTTGCCACTAATAACATAAATATATAAACCTATTAATTCAAATAACGGATTCGTGGATAACTTTGAAAAAATATGAAAACAATTATGTCTTTTGTGCAGTACTTAATCGTCTTTTTTTTTTAAAAAAAAGGATAAAAAAAGCATGAAAATTTGTAGGAATTTATATTTATTTTAACTAATAATTTAAAGTTTTATTTGAAACTTTCCTATAAGCCTTCATTCCCCTAATTGTTAGTGCCAGAATGGTTAAATGTTGTAGCGCGCATGAACGAATGGAAATTTTCTGTTTTGAAAGAAATAGTTAAAAGCCGAGTTTCGGTAGGAGAAAGAGAGTGTTAGGCTCTAGCTGCCGTCTCTGTCGTAGGTACGTTTGCTTATTGCTGGTTCAAGTGGCTTAATTGCATTGCTTTGCTGCCACTAGCTTAGAAGGGGGTTGAAGTTACGGGATCTCGCTGAGCACTGTAGGCTAGTTTTATCACTTGTAAATATTTCAACTTTTAGTTTCAATTATCTGACTTTTAGTTACCGCCCAAGTAGAGGCGAAGTTTGTTAACATCGAGTTGACGCATTGTAAATTTTAAAGAGTGAATAAAGGGTACGTGAACCCTTCTCCTGTGTAGTTTACTGCTATTCCAGTATACAGACAGAGTTCATTTACTGGACTCTACAAATTAAATAGAAAAACAGAAAAAAAATAATTTGGCTTGGACTTTTCTTTACAAGTATGCAAATGATACGTTTCGTTACCAGTATACTTAACTTCGATCATAGTGAGAGTTTGTGATGCATAATAAACTCGCCTAACAAAACAGCTAACGATTGCACGCTATGGTATTTCTGCTCATCGGTGCTTTAAAGTATGTTTTATAGAATACTTGCAGTGCCGTCAGAACGCATTCTAAAACATTTCACACAGCTGGATAACTTCGAGAATGTTGAATTCTTGTGTTGGAAGAATTTAGCTCCCAAATGAAGAAATAGGCTGCCACCCGAGTCCCACAAATATAGCTGTGCAAAAGTATTGACATCAGTCTACGCTGTAAAAGTACTACTCGAGGAAATAATGGCTTCGCTATGCCAAGATGCACAAATTCTAGAAAAGATCGCCTGATTGTGTGACTTGACCAAACTGTTCCAATATCATTCTTTTCTTCAATTCAATTTCTCCAGTCCATACCACCTATAGCTACATTATGTAAACAAATTAAATATAAAAGTACTATGTGGAAAATACTATGTTACTATGTAGACAAACTTCATATTCGTGTTTATAATAGGCCCACCAGCGGCCGAGCGGTAAAGTCGCTGAACACTGGTAGTTCGGTCCGAGGTTCGAATCCAGCGAACGGGCTGGCTGCATGGGTGTTTTCGTGGTTTTCCCCATGTGTAACGTGTATACGAGCCAGTTTCCCTTAGAAAGTCCTCCACGAAAGGCATCCCTCTCTTAGGCAGATAGCCCTAGTGTGCTTTGCCATAATTAAATACACCACCACACCACACCACACCGTGTTTATAATAAATGAGGAGAAAAATATCAAAACATATTTTATTTGAGCAGTAGTTCTAACTGAATTTTGTTAAATGAAAATAATTATAAACTCCATTTTATAGTTACTCTATTTACTCTGATAAATTACACACATGTCTCTCTGAAATACAACATCATCAAGAAGGCTTCCATATATTGGAATTTATAACTTGCGCGAATCTTGAAAGGTCATGCACATGATTAGCCTATACGCGAAATTTTACACCCGCCTTTGACCTCAAAAGCACGATTATGTACACGAACAGTGCTAATTCTTGAGATTTAATTGCTGGAACTGTGCATTTTGCTGCTGTTCATTAGCATGGTAAGCTAAGGTTTAACTTGTCAAACAAAGCGGGAAGTCATTTAACCGACAGGTGTGACAATAGAAGGATTGTGAAACTGCATATCCGCGAAATCGGTGCTCTGGTTGGACGACATCAAAGCCACAATGACGTGAATATGGAAGCGGCGCCATGCTTCCCTACTGCCAAATTTAGCAGCGCAGTGTACAATTGGATATGGGGTGCAAAGTTAAACAATTTTTTCATTGACTTCTAAGTGACTTAATAGGCCATTTGCATTTTTTCCTGTTCTTCACATACGTAGCCAGTCGAACTCGTCTGGTCGATGACTGGCAAAAAGAAGGTTCAACTATACACGCGCTGCTTCTCCAGATCAGATTTAGCAACGTGTGGACTCAGCATGATTGAAATGCCTCATGCTCACATCTAAAACTTATTTGTTTTTGTCTGAGGCACGTCAGGTAGGTATTGCAAGTCATGATGGCTACAGCAAATTTTTCATTCTTAAATGCTTCTCAAACAGAACGTAGCTGTAATTTTAATCAGTTCACCTATTTTACCTATTTTGTCTAGTAATTCTGATGTATTTGATATCGCATTTTGAATACCCAGCAATGTAAGTAAAACAGTATGTGAAGGAAAAAAATAAATGATAAGGAATTGCTCCTGTAAATAACTTTTTCCATAATTTACTTCAAATTCCTTGAATTACATAGTTTTTATAAGATAATTCGAAAGAGCATTTCTTTACTATTTTATATAACATTAAATAAAGTAAATCTCTTTAAGTGTGACCTATCTCAAAACGTAAGATTTACTGTTTTTAGTCTGAACATTGACTCACAGTTAGACTTTAAAACGTTTAGAGCGCATCTATTGTTCTTAACGACAGTATGGCAATTCACTGCTTAAACTACTTTTTTAAACTTTATTTCAGATGTTCCGCCTACAATAATTTCTGTTTTTCCGGAGCAGACAGCCCATCCAAGAGAAAGCATATCATTGAAATGCATTTCTACCGGCAATCCAGCTCCAAGAGTTACGTGGTACTTAGACGGTATAGTAATTGGCCGAAGTGGCCGGATAACCCTGAGTGATTACGTTACAGATCATGGGCATGTTGTGAGCTTCTTCAATATTACTGAAATAAGAGTTGAAGATGGCGGTGAATATAAATGCCAAGTGAGTAATGATGTTGGAAGTACGTCTCATGCAGCACGCCTGAATGTGTACGGACCCACATTTGTTAGACCCATGTCAAACGTCACAGCTATCTCTGGTGAAGATCTTGTAGTACGTTGTCCTTATGGGGGATATCCTATAAAAGGCGTACGATGGTTTAAAAGTAAGTATTATTAATTAGTTCTTTATACTTTATTTTTTAAATAATAAACTGAACAAATGTAATCTCATTCCTGATAACAGATTAAATTCATAATTTTGATTTTGCCTTTATACGTACATGAAAAAAAGGCTTAAAACAACGTTTTCAAAAAATTGTTCTACGTTTAGGTCAATGGTTTGTTTTCCCTCTTCTCAAAAACTTTTCTTCTTTTGTATAGCTAGCTATACAAGAACTCATTCCATAGCTCATCTGTAACATTTGGCCTTATTGTTGCAACGTTTCAATGAACAAAGCTTTTGAAAATATTTTCCTTTCACTTTGTAGCTTATTGTTTGGGATAGAAAAAGATTTTCTCCTTTTCTGAACTCTTTGATATTTGTCAATAGTTGCAAAACTTATGCACAAAATATGTAAAAAGAATTATGAGGGGAGAGTCATTTCCGTGTATTTGAGAGGTATAAAATATAAATAAATAAAGTATCATTAAAACGATGCCATAACAAAAAGTAGAAAAGCATACATTAATGGTTTGTTTAGATTGCAAAAAGGCAAAAAAAAAAAAAAAAAAAAAAAAAAAAAAAAGAGTTTCAGTATTTATTTATTTACTCATATTTTTCTTTTCTATTATGTGCTTTGCTCTTCTACTTTTTTCATGCAATACTTAATAGGCCTAAGCAAAGAATAATTTTTTATAGTTAATCATTTTAAACTTCTATATCCATAGCACAGAAATAACTGAATAAATATAAATAAATTAGTAAATGTAAATTTAATTGTTATGCAATAGAGAACTTTCTTAAAAATATTTATTACTTTGTTAAACATTTTAATCTTCTTTATCTTCTATATATATAAAAGGAAGAATCTGTCTGTGTGTCTTTCGTTCGTGCTGCGCGTAAGCTAATAGACCCAAGGCTACGGAATTTGGTACATAGGTGCATCTAGACAAGAGCCAATGCACCTCGAAGCGATTTTTTTCAAAATTTGAATAAGTTTTTTTTTAATTTTATGTTTTTAATGAAATCGCATCAAATCGATAATTCTCTCTCATTATATCATATTATTACATATACAGTGGTGGCCAAAATTGTGGACACTTTTGGAAATTTTTATGTTTTTGAACATTGTATGCTTATAGAAAACGTTACGTTTGACAAAATGCAAACTTGTATATATCATTTTAAAGAGAATTTATTACCGAATTCAATACAAAACACAAAATTCAATTATTTGCAATATAAAAAAGTTAAACGATAATAGTTATCGATATACATTAGATAGTGATGATTGCAGTGAGTTATCAGTACTTTAGGGTACCCTTTATTTTTTATTACAGCTGCACATCGACGTTTCATTGAGCTGGCAAGAGTTTTAAACTCTTCTTTCGTTATTACATGATGACAGGAAACAATTATAGCCTCAATTAGTTCCCTTTTATTTGATGGGCGCCTCATTCGGACAAGAGTTTTCAAACGGTGCCACAAATTTTCGATAGGATTGAAGTCAGGACTGTTTCCTGGCCATGACAACAATTTAATACTCTTTGTACGAAACCACTCTTTCGATATTTTGGCCGTGTGGCAAGGAGCAGAATCCTGCTGAAAAATAAACAAAGCATTGTTGGGAAAGAGATCTCTGTTGGAAGGTAGAATTTTGATTCTAGATTAGTGTCAATGTATTTTCTGTCATTCAGTGTCCCATCGATGATATGAAGGCAACCAATACCATCTGCAGGCATGCATGACCAAATCATAACACTAACTGGGTTCTTCACAGTTGCTTGAATGCAGTCAGGATGTAGCTCTTCTCCTATTCTACGTCTTGCATATTTTCGCCCATCACTACCGAATAACGATATCTTAGTTTCATCACTCCATATAACTTGTGACCACTGATCATCTGTCCAATTAATGTGTTCCTTTGCCCATTATAGTCTTTTTTTTTTTCGTTGCTGAAAATTAAGATAAGGCTTTTTTCGTGGAATTCTACCTCTCAGTCCAACATCTGTAAATCTTCTCCTGATTGTTCTTGAACTGACAGGAACACCAGCATGATTCAGATCACTTCTGATGGCCGCTGATGACATTTTTCTATCTTGGAGACATAGTCTTTTTATTCTTCTTTCATCAATAGATGTGGTGCACCTTTTCCGGCCTTTTCCTTCTTTGTTTTTTATTGAATTTGTCTCCTGATATCGTAACCAAAACTTTCGGACTCCAGATGTAGTCACTGAACCACCCACCTGTTTTGCAATTTCAGCATAGGAAAGACCACTTTCTCGTAACACAATAATATTACATCTCTTTCTAGGTGTCCAATCTACTCTTTTATTTGATGTCATTGCTTCTTGACTAAATATTAAAATTTTTTACAAAAATTCCTACTTGTAATTGCAGTGTATAAGAAACAGGTCCTCCTTCTACAGAACAAAGCAAAATAATGAATTGTTTCAAGTGTAAACATGATGTCAGCTTCTACTGGCAGTTACTAACATTTGATTGGTTCTCAGAACAAGAACAGTGATTTCCCAGGAAAGCTAGACACTGCAAACCACTCCATAACTGTGTTTATTTATTTATATTAAAGTACATATAACTTTTTTTGTATTGCAAATAATTGAATTCTGTGTTTTGTATTGAATTCAGTAATAAATTCTCTTTTAAAATGATATATACAAGTTTGCATTTTGCGAAACGTAACATTTTCTATAAGCATACAATATTCAAAAACATAAAAATTTCCAAAAGAGTTCACTATTTTGGCCACCACTGTATATTAAATACATGATAAAGAGAAAACAAATTAAAAGAAATAATTTCTTAATTAAAAATGTAATTAAAAAAAGTGTAATAACTTTTATCTCATATATTTTCCCTCTTCAGTGACCAAAGATTAACGTAAAGGGAAAAAAAAATATTGTGTGAGATACTATAAAAAAATATTGCAATTTTATTGAAACTTTTATATTACTACAATAATTATTAAATTTATATATATATATATAATTATTCGGATGACATATAATTTTTTCAGAGATAAATTACTATTAATTTTCCTGTTAATTCATTTATGCATATTTAAAAGCGTTATTGATTTAAGTAGCATTTTGCAAATATATAGCTTATGAAAGAATATGATTACAAATTTTGTATATATGTAAATAATTTTAGAGAAATATTATGTGAAACTGTGGTATTTTATTGTATAATGTAACACGAAATACTCGAAAGGGACGAAGTTCTGCCAGAAGAATAAAATTAAAAGGAAAACTCTGAATTAAATGGCTATCTCGTGAAATTGGCAAGATGTCGTCAAGGTGATGATGGATTTGGCGATTAACTTTTGTCTTGAAATTGGCTAGAAATCGCAAAAAGTCATCAAACCTGCCGACCATATGGTGACATTTTGGTACGGTTTCTGTATAACTGTAATTGATATTGTAATTGAATAACTATAATTGAGCGCTATATCTAACTCTAACTATATACGGCTCTCATATGCCTTCCGGTTATTTCAAGAAGTAGAAGGTACTAGAGATTTCTCGGTTTATATAGACAGATAAGGGGGGGATAGATGATACATATATAATAAAGATTAAAACAAAGATTAAACTCACGCCCAACTAAGGTTCCAACTTCACAGTTGGCTCTCATATATAGGCTAAGAAAAACCTTTTACTGAGTTGAAAACAAGAAACTCCATCCTTTCGCATGAAGAATTTTCTGAGTTATTTTTAAGAGTAATTGTACTGATTTAGGCCAAATTTCTGTATTTAGATCAACTTCAGGTAATAGTTATAAAATAAAAATTGCTATTCAGCGATTTATGTCTTTGCTTTTGGTAAAAACAGCATTCTCTATGAAATGTGCAGCTAGTCTCTTAAAACCATATTTATTTGCATTATATACCTTCAAATTTTATCCGTGAGTGTATCTAATGCGATCTTTTAACTAATTAAGGCATATCCAATATTTTACTTATTGAAATGTTTATTCGACATCGACCATATGAAACGTTAGGGATTTTATGTTTCACAGAATATTTCTACGCAGACTCTGGAATCCTTTTATTTTAAGAACTTTTTTAGCAAACATATATATCGAGAATCAGATTTTTAAGAAACAAAGGCTGCTTAACCACGTTTTAATAACTAGTCTACATACGGCTAACAGAGAAAAATGAATTAAGTATTTTCCCCCTTTTTGTAGTAAGCTGTCTTATGTACCTCGACTAACAATAATTTAATTTTGTACATACAATATAAAAAAATTGCAATAACTGAAAATTTAAGGAAAAATAAGAAGCCAGAAAAAGATGTTGAGCTTAAGCAAAGGAAAAAAGAAACTTGCGTATGAACGTATGGGAACTAATATTCGTTTAAAGAATGTTCTTTATTTTCTGAGATAGTTTTTTTTTTTTTTTTTTTTTTTTTTTTTTGGGAGTGGGAAGAAAAATTAAATAAAATTAATCAGAGAAATGTTAGCGAATATTTCTTGAAAACTTGTTTCAGTTGCTGCGGCTCTTAAATCGAAATAAGTGCTCATATCTTTGAAATGCAAAATGAGACCTTTCTATCAACCATTTTCTATTGAGGGTTTAGAAAACTCTGCTTCCGAAAATGTATCTTTCGTGTGCTAGTCAGACACGAAAAGATACTTTTATCCACCTATGTAATTTTAACTCATTATGAGGATGTTTGCATAATTTGCAATTAAAAGGAAAATCTGATTTTGGTTTTAAAAGTCATAGATATAAAGTCGATGAATTATAAATATCATACCGAATATCTATAATTGTTTGCTTCATAAAATTATTGCTTTTTTAAATAGCGTCTCGTTCTAATGATGACAAGAAAAGAAAAACATTCGCACACCACAGAGAATACTCATTGTAAAAATGTTACCTGTCTGCCATAAATAGTCTCCCATAAAAGTACAAAACATGTGAAAGATTGCTTCTATAGTAAATCCTGGATTACAAAACTGGAATTGTTCATGTTACACCAAAGGCGTTG